AGAACGAGAATGTTTATATTCCACAAGTGACCAACTTGTTAGGCCCGGGTTCGAATCTCACCGTGGTCAATTTGTCAAGGTGTTTAGTTCTTTATATCGGCTTTCGGAGACGATCCAGCAGGCAACAGTGTTGTGAAGTGCCTGAAAACGATACAGAAGGTTGGCCCAAGCCTTGTGAGCGAAAATGGTTAGTAGATCGAACTGTTCAGAAGCCGTCGATGGTTGTGCTAGCACAAAGTCCTAAGTCATGGTGACCGAGGATTTGGGCATACTGGTTCAAACTGGTGATCATGCCAAGTTATGCGCTCTCTCCCAGAAACTGTAACTAAGGTCTGCACAGTCTAGTTGAAGGTTGGTTCTATTGGTGATGAACAAGCAGAAATATAATCGATTAGGCGTCTGCTATAGGGAATAGCTGGCTGTCCTAAGAGATGGCTATAGTTGGATATGAGCGGCCAGCCATACACATTAGGGTAAGTTGATTTTTTACCTTTTTTTTTTTTAGAAAATCATCATTGCATACGATGTGAAAGGAGGAGTTTCATGTGATAATTATTGACACCAAAAATTAGATCCATAGCTTTTACCAATTTTTGAACATTTACTTTTAAACATCGTCTGAAAATATGTACAGAAATACATAATTCCGCAGATTTTTGCTTACAAACTGACTTCAAAATTTTACTATTTCAAGAATAAATTCGAATAAACTTGATACCTTTTATATCAGATACATTGAATAGAAAATAGATTAAAACCTGCATTCTAATTATGAATCACCGCAAGCAAAATATGCAATTTTTTTACTGTATTCAATAAGTAAGAACTCTGTAAAACAAATTGTAAAAGATTACAAAAAAGGTTACTGTTGTAGAGTAGTTTTCACAGTGGAGGCTTGTATTTCACTATATCGTCCTAAAAGGGTTCGACGTACAAAACGTTAGGAACTTGAAATAATAGTTAATGACGCAGCAATCTAGTTGTAGTCGTTGATACTTTAATGTCCGACATCGACTGACACACCAACTCCACTCTGAGACCCCCCCCCCTGGCGACTGCTACTTCTACTACTTATTATCTGTGGGAGAGTCTATTAACAATAGAATAGGTATGTTCCGGTATAACAGTTACTCAATGAGTAAGATTTGTTAGATCATTTCTTAGAACATAATTAATTAAAAAAAGTAGATACAAGTGCATAACAGCATCAGACCACTGGGAACAAATTATACGACAAAATGCTTGACATATTCATTGTTTATTGAAAATCACACTAAAATTACTACACTGTATAACATTACATCATAATATAGCTAAATTGTTCAGTATAACTCCCCTTTGAAGTAAATGAAGGTCTACACAATGATTTAGTAATAATATGCTTGTGCCATGCATCTTGTCCGTATATACAATTTGTAAAGCATCAGTAATTTATACATTTTTAAGGTTGTGCTATAATGCTTTCACCGGAATGAAATTCCAACGATACGATTTTGAACCTAATCTTAATCTTTAATGTCGATTCCTCAAAAAAAAAAATAATAAAAAAATAAATAAATAAATAAAAAACCTTAAGGATTTGGAAAAAATATTTTGTGCCATTATTTTTCATATCAAACCCCAACTTTCAAATTGAGTGCAATACCACATTTCCAAAATCAACATGTTTTTCTTTGTTTATTAATCTTGTTAGCTGCTTTGGCACAGCTATATACTTACTACTGTCTGCAGCGTCGGCTCAAGATACTCGCAACTCGGACAGTCGCCCAGGGCGCCATCAAAGTCGAGGTTACCATCATGCCTCAATGTCATTTGGGATTTTCGAAACAAAAAGATAAAATAAGAAAAGAAAAGAATAAATAAAATGCAATAAAAATCAAAATATTAAATTTCTTGAGTGGAGTAAAACTTTTAAGAATTATTATTAATTCCTTCTGTTATGGTCTCGTGATCTAACACCATAACAAAAAAAAAAAAAAATGATGAGCGGGAGTTATTTTACATTTTCAGTTTTTATTCTTGTGTAATTTTTTTTTTTAAATACTTGTAAGGGCGCCGATGTTCAGTTTGCCCCAGATGCCAGCAATCCTAGTGCCGGCCCTGACTGTCTGTTATATCCCAAAATCAGGGATTTTGAATGGAATTTTTCAGGGAAATCAGGAGAAATTGTTTTATTTATCGATTAAGCTGGAAACCCTGGTGTCTTTCATTATCTTTTTTCAGTGTTTACACCATAATTTCTTAAACTAAATTCCCCCCACCTAAATAATATGACAACATTTATAAAATATTCCATTATTATTTGATTGTTTTTCAGTTAAATTTTAAAAATGATTACGTTTTAACAGTGCAGCCAGTTATTTGAATTAGTCACTTAACAATATTCTATTGTTATTTTTTAAATATCTGTGTGTAAAAAACTTTTATGAATACGAAACAATGGAAACCTGAAAGCAACATTTTCTTTAAATTTTATATTTTAACAAGACAGTCACCAATTTAAAATCTCTCACCGCATTGTGTCTTTTTACACCTTCTTTAATCATTTCACCCCAAGCAAGGCAGTAAAGTAGATATTTAATTTACTTGACCCCCCCCCACTGAGTCAGGTTGTGACACAAGGTCGGTTTTTAACGTGGGGACTCGAATGTTTTCACTCAGGCCGCTGGTCTAAGCTGGTCATAGCTTGTCCAAGCTGGTCTAAGCTAGTCATGGCTGGTCTTGGCTTGTCCTAGCTGGTCCAGGCCGAAGGCGGTCTAAGCTAGTCGTAGCCGTGATACTACCAGCGCAGGGATTGATCCCTATACCAGGTAAAGCCACTGTATTGCTTTAATAAACATATTATCAGCAGTAGCCTTGAGGATAAAAAAAATGTTGTGGACGCTTCATCTATACAGGCAAATCACACTCAAATACATTCATTAACAATTTCCGTTGTGTATTCAATTTATTTCTAGGAAAAGAAACTCTTAAACTTTCATTTTGTTTAATAAATGTTATCTTGCATTGAAAATCAGTCGGTTTCTGTTATGTAAAATATTATCTTAGAAATCTTATACATTAGTTACAGAAGTAGCCAACAGACTAAACCACTAAGAGGCAAGGGCGTTACTGAGAATTACTCGAAATTGTTAATCGGAGAGACTGTTGCAGCCACCGCTGGCCACTCCTAAACAAAACAAATAGCACAACCTTGACCTTCGAAACGCTTCTACTTCCAGAATTGAATCAGCAGTTAATTAACAATTAAAACAACTACCCTGATATATTTTGAGTTAGAAACATACCGTTAAATATATCGGATATGGAAATGTTAACCAACATACGAATTGCATTCGGAGTATTTTTATGTTTAGCGTTGTATTATCTCCACGACTCGGCCCTGTTTAGGGAGATTTCCATCTGCGGGTTGGGACATCTCCGACAATTCGCCCGGATTGTTGGAGCAGACGGCCAGAAGGCAGGAGACTTCCAACCTTCGTGTTGGATTATCTCCGCGGATTCATCCGAATCGTTGAAGTAGACGACTAGGAGGCAACCTTTTCTGCTCCCGTTTCGCTATTACGTTCCTGCGTGGTCACTGACCAGCTTCTTATCACCGTTACGTTCCTACCCGACCTATTGTCCAACTTCCCGTCGTCGACAAGACCAGTCAAACCACACCTAAACCTCCTGTCGTCGATACGTGAAGTCCGACCGTCGATACGACTAAGAACGACCGCTCCTCAACTTACCGTCGTCGACACATCCAGTCCGACCACACTCCAATTACCTGACCTCGAAGCCCGACCAACGATCAACTTACCCACCAACGTCTTCACTAAAGATTACCGGACCAGTCTACTCGAAACTGACATTTCATCCAGCAAATCTTTTTCATTGTACAAAAACGCACGTCCTGACGTTTGGTATATATATATATATATAAACTTTAGCCTTTTGTCCCCTCATTGTCTCAGCTGTTCACACCTTTCTTCGAACACAGCTTGTGGGGTCGACATCCTTTATCGGTCCCGCAACATTCCCCCCTCTTATAAAATTTTTTTATAATCTTAATATTACTGATTTTTCTTTATGACCAGTCTTACTTTAGAGAGAAATAATTTACTTTCATTTTCCCTAGTAATCTTAGTTGATATTACTAATTGACACGATCAATTAGCTAGTGGGAGGGCCTTGTCGTAACCACCGATGACCATTCCTAAACAAAAGACGACCCTGACCCTCTCAACCCTTCTACTCCCAGAATTGAATCAGCAGTCTTCCAGAACCTAACATTTCATCCAGCAATTTTTTTCATTGTACAAAAACTCACGTCGTTTTAACAAAATAAAAACTGACGTTTGGTAAAAAAATACAAAACCTTTGCCTTTTGTTCCCTCATTGTCTCGGCTGTTCACACCTTTCTTCGAACACAAATTAGCTTGTGGGGTCGACATACACTTATTGGCCCTGCAACAAGCTGAGTTCTTATTCTAATTGGGTTCGTTATATTCGCTTACGCGCAAATACTCTTGAGAAATCTATGGATCCATCTCTTCTCTCGCCAGCTATGTGTTACTATAAATTGCGGCGTACGAGTCAAGTTTCCAAGCTTAAAAATATTTTTGTGTCCAGTTTTCAAGTGTAAAAAAATCTTTTTGGGTCACTGGTAACCTAATGTATGTTTGGGAGGTTAACTTATATAGGCCTAATTCAGAATTTTTATCTAAAAATCTTGAGGTCGACTTGTACGTCGGGTAAACTTCTACACCGTTTTCCATTACACCACTTGTTGACTTGCCCGAGCCGTTGCTTAAATTCAGTGATCGTGCGAGAACCGGTGTTTCAACTTGATATGCCCGTAAGCCCTTTATACCATCCGTACATACAAGCTTACAGTACCTGATATTTCCGAGCGGTTACCCATCTAGGCACTGAGCAGGTTCAACGTTGCTTAACGTCGATGATTGGATGTTTCAACGTGATCAGGCTGTAAGTCATTTATACTAGCTTACAAGCTTACAGCACATAGTATTCCCGAGTGGTTACCCTTCTAGGTACTGACCATGTTCAACGTTGCTTAACTTTGGCGATCTGATTAGAATCGGTGTGTCAACGTTATATGACCGTTAGCCCTTTATACCCCATGCACATCCAAGCTTACAGAACCTGATATTCCCGAGCGGTCACCTTTCTAGTTACTGACCAAGTTCAACGTTGCTTAACTCCTGTGATCTGATGAGAACCGATGTTTTAACGTGATATGGCCGTAAGCCTATAAAGTTTGCGAACGTACTCCCCAGAGGCGAGTAATAATTGTTCTTTCTCACGCTCATGCGTCCCCACGCGTACTTTCGCTTGTCTCATATTGTGAAAAGCTGAACTGATATGCAAAATTAGAAAAATGAATTCAGCTTTTCACAATATAAAACAAGAGAAAAAAGTTTAATGAACAAAGGGAGAATGTGTGGACTTTGAAGAAGAAACAATAAAGGACAATTGTTTCCCTTTTAATCATTTCTCTTTCAATCTTAATTTCACAGTTAGCTAACAGCTGTCTCTTTTGGAAATATAAAAATATCATTATTTTTACCGCCGTTTGGTTTAGTTTGTTTTGTTTTACGGCATATCAGCCTCAATGGGTTATTTAATGCCGACAAAATTTTATTGCTGGTAATATTTTTTTTCAAAAATATATTACTAGTAATATTTTGTTTTCCAAAATGTATTCCTGGAAATAATTTTTTTCTTAAAAAATTTATTGCTGGTAATAATGTTTTTACAAATATTTCTAGTATTAAAACGTATATTTACACTTTCGTAGTGTTTTGATCCCAGGTTAGGAGTTAACTATTTTCCCATAGCCGGGACCCTAACAGGTGCTACCATTCCGGGCCAGGGAACACCAGCAATTAAGAGGTGGTTCCACGTTTCTCAAAACCTCTCGATCAGAGGCCTTGCTGTCGGACGTAATTTATTGTCATACCCAGGACGGTATTATCCCCGTTAAATAATTTAATTTCTCATAACAATTAATATTTAATGTTACTAAATAAATCAAAGTAATACTTGGTAGTTGAAATTGTTGATTTTTGAAAGTATTTTTCACGGTTCACATGTTTTAAATTTATGATCCACTTTTAACCTTAAACACTCTTTAGGCAACTTCAGTCATTGCAGTTGACTCCTATCGCCAAATAACAGCATATTTAATTTTTACGACTGTGTTGTCTAATCCTGTCTAAAACAGCAAAAAACAGCCTTGACATAAATCGAGATCAAGTCTACTGCGGTTTGTATTTGAGTAGCCACCATATATAGTGGAAGAAGAAGTAATACCTATGAATAATAATGTATAATATTAATGCTACGATTTTTCTTTTTAATCATTTCACACCAAGCAAGGCAATAAAGCCACTAAGACACAAGGGGGTTACTGAATGTGAGAGAATATGAGAAAAAAAACACTATTAAGCTGCGAAAAGAATGAAAGAACAGGAAATAAATGTGTAAGATACATTCTTTTGAGAAAAATTGTCTGGCACAACACAATGGACCAAATTTCCAACAAGCAAACTTAACAGTTGATTCAACATGTCATCCCAAATGCTATGTAAATGAAGGTAACATCTGAAAGTTAAAATTGTTGTTTTTTGAAAGTATTTTCCCCATTTCGTAAGTATCTAAATGTTATGATACAAAAAGGAAAATATTGACTGGAAAAAAAAAACATCAGATTTAAAGGCAGAGTATTAAATGTTTTATTTTTCAGATTTTGGGAGAAGTATAAAGATTTTATGTTAATACAATCTGTAATAAAATAGAAACAAAACCGACTCATTAACGAGAACATAATGATGATGATCAACATCAGTCCGTTGACCGTGTGTGGTCGTCGGGTCACTGCGCAGCTGAGTATCTGAGCCGTTCCCTGCACGAAGCTGGAGTGGTGTTCATTCATGCGTAGAGTGTCATGATCAAACTGCAGCCGATGACCTCCAACATGAATGCTCGCCTTGGTCACGAACGCGTAGCCGTCGATTCCATCGGTGGGGAAGGGCCACCGCCCTGGCCATTGACTTCAGTCTAGAAAAGACCTCTAACCATCATTGCAGTATCATCGCCGTATTAGCTGCATACCTAACTATGGGCCCCAGTCTGCACCCTTTTGCTAGATGACAGGTGACCCTACAAGAAGGTTCGTTCACCCTTCGACGGGTCTTGTATTTAATCCTGATGGGTGTCTAGTCACCCTTATCACCAGAAAGGACTGATGGGAGAACTGGTTTAGTTGCCGATGACCCGACCATATGGCAAGTAGTACTGCGTTACATGATACCAGTAGCAATCCTATAGTGACCTCGTAGCAACCATTGACATGTTTCAACGTGATACAGCTGTAAGCCTATAAATTTTGTGAATGTGCTCCTCAGAGGCGAGTAATAATTGTTCTTTCTCACGATCTAGAAGAACTGAATAAAGACAAAAGGTAAACTTATCTTACGGACTTTACCATGGCAAATGCCTGAGAGGGCGAAACGCGTTGGTTCAGATAAATTTTCCTTTTGCCTTTATTCATATTGTCCTTTCACAAATATACTATATCTTATTTTTTTTACATCTAGAAGGATTCTATCAAACAAATGAGTATGAAAATCTTATGTTGAAGGAACGTGTAGGTGACACAAAGTTAATATTAATCTGGAGGACCGTTTAAATTAACCGCGAGTACCCGAACTCATTTCGGTAAAAATTCTTACCATTTCAAAATAAATAAATTCATCACATACATGAATAAACAGAAAAGCAATAATGATATTTTATTCTGTATAGTTCAACCAAAACAATTGAGATGACAAAAAAAAAACAAAAAACAAACAAACAAAAAAAAAAAAACAATGCCTGGTAGGGGAACCATTTTAGTCGCTTACGACCCAACAATGTAGCGGCTATTACTAGGTTAAATGGTACTAGTAGATCATTTCTCCAATATCAGAAAAGAATTTCAGATTCTAATGACTAATGTTTGGGAACCCCAAAAACTTACATCAATTTGTGTTGTAGAGTAGTTTTCACAGTGGAGGCTTGTATTTCGCTAAGTCGCTCCTAAAGGGTCCGACGTACAAAACGTTAAGAACTTGAAATAAGAATTAATGACGCAGCAATCTAGTTGTGATGGGTGATACTTCAATGTCCGATATCGACTGACTCACTCAACACCATTGAGCCCCACTGGCCACTGCTACTACTACTTATTATCTGTGGGAGAGTCCATAACAATAGAATAGGTAATGTTCTGGTATATAACAATTTGTTAGCTGACTGTTAACGATTTTCCTATTTGAATTTTGCGATGAATCCTCTTTCTTAAGTTAATAACTGAATCAGTTTTCTTGCGAGCCCGACGTTAATATTTTGAGCTTAACAATTTTAACAAAGTATTACAATAACTGTCATAAATATGAATGTATGTCAATATTTAAAGAAGTAAGAGGGTACAAATGAAAAGATTTAAAATTGACAAGGTTTTCCTTTTCCATGAGAGCATTATCGCCTCCTCTATTTCCTGTTTCTTTCTTACATAGCCTAAAGCCAGACAGCACATTTGATTTTCCCTCCATTCTTGCAATAAAAGAGGAATGGTCTATTGTTTAGCTGATATAATGGCAGAGCGTAACTAAGGAATAAGCAAAATTATAATATCATATCTGTCTATATTTCTGAGATGGGATATTGTAACTATTTACACTATTTACATTATTCGGACTGATGCCATATTCGTTTCTGCCGTTGTACGCTCCGGTCTTCTTCTTTAACTGATAATGAGATACCCGGAAGAGGCATGGCACGTGGAACTAGAACAATCTACCCCGGTGGACGAAATAAAGGGTTTAGTTCGAAATTCCAGTCACCTGACGAGAGCGGAGCGTACAACGACAGAATCATCGTAAATGTGGCAACGAAGATGAAGACAACTGTCCAAACAATGTAAGTAATGATAAGTCATAATATGATATTATAATATGGTCAGGCATGCTTAGATTCTGGTTGGCTTATTCCTTCGTTCCAGAGAGGATCTGGCTTCTTCTACAATGTTTTATCTCTTTATGGGAGTCAAATTAGAGAAAAAAATGGAATAATGCAGCCATACCTCGACTGGAGCTGCTCAATCCCCATTCTTGAGCCTTTGTAGGATTCGAAATCCTTTACGCTGTCTTGTTGGCTAATATTTTCCATTTTTCAGAATTTCTCCCATAGACGCAACGTCGCAAGACTATCGCTATTCCATCGCTATTTCCATGGCAAGTGTCCAGACGAGCCCTAATCTTTAGTTCATCTAGTTCATATATATAGGGTAAGATGGGTAAATTCTCACCCTTTTATATTCTTAATTTCGCGCATGCGCGTCGTTTGTTTTTTATTTTATCGATTGCACAGTATAGTAGGGTCAGTTGTGCACCGTCTGTGAGAAAAAGAACAGTATGACGCAATTCACTCCGCCAGAAATTTGAAAACGGCATGCAGTACTGCTTGACATTCGCACCGGAAGCTCCAATACGAAGATTTCAGAGTGTTTTGGTGTTAATCTGAGGACAGTATGGAGTATTCGGAAGGAGTTGAATGGGTCTATATATTTGTTTGTCTCAATGCAAAGAAGGAAATAATTTGACGTTTATCTATATGAAGAGACAATTTTCTTCTAATTTGTCAATATTCAACGACGTGTCATCGTGGCATCTTCTTGTGCCTGATAGGGTCAGAACTGATATCATCAAAAGAGGCAGCGAGCCATTCCAGAATAAGCAGGGACCTTTCAAGTCGGTCAAAAGGCCAGGTACAAAGGTTAAAGGTGAATTGCGGCAACCCTCGCTGCGTGACGGAAAATTGCACTGCTTTTGTTGTTGGTTGCTTGCCAAAGATGACAAAGCTACTGAAACGTCTACTTTCGTCACTGGTTTCGAAGCCTGGTGGAAGCTAAATCCGAAAATTGCTGAACACGAACAATCAAAGTATCATCTGTCGTGCTTGGAGAAGTGGAAAACACTGGCTTCAGGACTCCAGATGCAAACAACCACCGATGCAGCACACATTTCCCTGATGGAGAAAGAGAAAAAGAAGTTCAGAGACATTCTGCACAGAGTTTTAGATGTGATACTTTTCCTTGCACGATAGAACCTGTCATTTAGAGGACATCGTGAGGATGCGTCATCATTAAACAAAGGTAATGTCTACGATGTAATATTAAAAGAACATCTTGTCAGGCTCCAGCAAA